CCACTTCAGAGGATCCTGAAGCAGGCAAGATAAGCAGCAGCTGACCCCAAAATCCCTTGCTGAATATGTGTGAATAGCAAAAGAGAGAGAAAAGGGGACAGCAGACAAGTTTGCCTCACCAGCATATTAAAAAAAAGAAATAAAACGAAGATCAAAATGAATGAATCTCTGGCCAACACGAGAAAATATGGTCTCTGCTTTAAGAAAAGAAAACTGGCTATGTACTGTATATGTGATCTTAATGATAGGTTGTAAAAACCAAAACAAAACACCCAATACAAAGAGAGTATCCCCCACTCCCAACAACATTTTTTTCTTAATACCAGCAGCACTCATAAAAATTATTGGGTTTTTTATTATTATTGGGTTTTTATTTAAAGGAAATATTGATTCAGAGGAGGTTTGCTATTGCCTTTCTCTAATGCTAAGTGAGTGCAACTGGCCCAAGATCAGTCAACTGATTCTGTGGTTGCCTGGAGTTCTCATCCAACTCTCAAACCACTATACCAGATGGTTCCCCCAGAACGGTGTCCTATGTTCAACTATATAGTTGGAAGTCTTGGCCCTTGTAAACTACTGGACCATAACTGAACTTCCAGCAACCTTCCTCATTAGTATTGCACTACCACTGCCATGTTGACTTGTAGATTATGAAAAGTATCTTCACATTATAGACAAGTCAGATTGCAGAGGATTGGGGAAAACCAGGATTATCAACGTTTTTCCTTGCAAAACTTTTTTGTGCCTTTAACAGTTGTTCAAGAAGACTCCATATGGAGCTACTGTTTTTCCATATGAGAAAAGCCTTCCCATATAGTGTTTCTACTTTTATTCACCTATTAAAAGCCCATTGTCTGAAATCAAGTGTCTTGAGTGCTGGACCAGTATCATGGGGCAGCACTGTTGTGTTACTTCTGTAGAGTCCACCACTAATTTCTATATGGGCAAATCATTTCCATCCAACCCTCAATTGAAATATGCTGAGGGCATAGTACAATGTCTCACAAAATAGCAGTGAGCAATAAAACAGTTGGGAACAATAAAAGGTGGTATCAAAATACTGGATGCTAAAATTGCAAAAATTAAAAGGTCTTTACCTAGTGTCTAAAAATACATTAACGGAGGTGCTAGACAACAAACCTCCCAAAGAGAGGGTTATATAAACTGGGTGCCACCACTAAAAAGGCCTTTTCTGGAAGCCGTCGAGCTTACTATGCTTCCTCTTTCCTACTGTAAGAGGTTCATTGTTTCCCACTAAGGTCCTATTTACATTGCCATATAATGAAAATGCAGTTCAGTACAGTGAGTTTAAGGTCCCTTCCACACAGCTGAATAAAATCCCACATTTTCGGCTTTGAACTGGAATATATGGCAGTGTGGACTCAGATAACCCAGTTCAAAGCAGACATTGTGGGATTTTCTGCCTTGATATTCAGTATGATATGGCTTTCCATCCCATCCAATGAGTGAAGGCTAGAGGATAGCTAGCTGAAATAGCAGAGAGAAGCAGGCCTGCTCCAGACCACATAACCAAGCTGCTGCCCCCATCTCCCAGCATACAGTACAATTATAGGTTTTACTGAACTGAACAGACAAAGAATGTGGAATGAAGTCATTAAAAGTATGGATCATGGCAAGAACTGATCTGCCCTAAAATGAACAAAAAGCTGGAGGCTACTACAGAATGGGTGTGCCAGCTGGCTAGAAAAAGAAAAGCTTGCCCTACTTCTGTGCCATTCAGAGAAGGGCAACATGCAAAAACTAGTGTATGAAGCTTTACTTGGTATGGAGCTAAACCCTTATCACTTGCTCATTTTGTGCTAAAGGAAAGCTAAAAGGCATGGCTTGAAAGATTAACTACTTTATTGCAGAAACAGCAAGCAAGACTTAAACTATTAGTCTTTCCCTGAGAGTAGAACAATGTTAACTATGTCTCTGGCATAGGCACAAACAGATTCTTCTCAAGTACTCAGTGCCCCATTTAATATTTACTGCATTATGAATGGTCTTTGCCAACTTTTTCTGGCAGGCTTTCTGAACGTTTAACAGGTGTGCAACAAGAAGGCATACAGCAGGTGAAGCCTTTTTGTCTCACCAATGCACTGAAATAACTGGGGGAAACCTCAGTTGTTTGGATTTACCTGTTGGAAAAGAGTTGAATATCTTGTTGCTAAGCAGCTTCCTAACTATGATGTCAATTGGCATACTTTGCTCCTTTTTTTTTTTTTTTTACTATAACCTACATATACTGTTTTGTGCATGATTTTTTTTTTTGTAAAGCAGTAGTCAGTGGAATCAAAACCATGTTTGTGAGCTAAAGAAGGAATAGTACAAGGACCACTTCTGGTGCAGGCTACTGCTCCTGTGTCCATACAGCACACCCTCATGCGGACTCATATAATCCAGTTTAAAGCAGAAAACCTAGGATCAGATCCTGGGATATAGGGCCTGTCTGCAAGGGCCCTTAGTCTCTAAAAAAACTGTAGGAAGATGTGGGGTTATGTGGGCTAGAAAAGCACTGTCAAATTCAATGTTACAAAGTATTTTAAAATCTGTTACTGAATATACAGTTATCTGACTGAGAAGTAGATGAGTAGATCTATCATCTATGAATCCTTTTAAGACAGTGGTTCTCAACCTGTGGGTCTCCAGGTGTTTTGGCCTCCAGATCCCAGAAATCCAAGCCAGTTTACCACCTGTTAGGATTTCTGGGAATTGAAGGCCAAAACATCTGGGGATCCACAGGTTGAGAACCACTGCTTTAAGAAGATATCCAAGGCCCCTTCCACACAGCTGAATAAAATCCCACATTTTCTGCTTTGAACTGGAATATATGGCAGTGTGGACTCAGATAACCCAGTTCAAAGCAGATATTGTGGGATTTTCTGCCTTGATATTCTGGGATATAGGGCTGTGTGGAAGGGCCCCAAGACAGCGATATAGCACTACATCTCCATTCTTCTTCCACTCCAGTGTTGCTGAATATTCAATCTTATAAAGAATTCGGAACTAAAAAAGTTCCCTCAACTTTATGCATTTTTGTTAGCCCTGATCGCATTTTCAAGACTATCACTTTGGGCCCTTCCACACAGCCATACAACCCAGAATCTCGAGGCAGAAAATCTCACAATATCTGCTTTGAACTGGGTTATCTGAGCCCAAACTGCCCTATATTCCAGTTCAAAGCAGATAATGTGGGATTTTATCCAGCTGTGGGGAAGGGGCCTTCTTTATATATTGGTCCAGCTTCAATATCTTTCACTAGTGCTCCCAGAACATGTATTTGTATGTTTAAAGAAAGCTTAGAGCAGTTGTTCTCAACCTCTGTGTCCCCAGATGTTTTGGCCTTCAACTCCCAGAAATCCTAACAGCTGGTAAACTGGCTGGGATTTCTGGGAGTTGTAGGCCAAAACACCTGGGGACCAACAGATTGAGAACCACTGGCTTACAGGTAAGGGGTGTAACTTCAACCAAAAAAAGGAAGTAAAATGCTGTGAAACACTTCAAATGCTGAAAGAGACCCTTAACACATTCCAACGGGCTTCATCTTCTATATACACAGATTATTTTGAGTTTTTTACAATGCTGAAATGTCATCCCTTAATAAATAAAGAAGCTGAGTTATTTTCAGACAATGAAACCTTTTCCTGGCTATCTGAAACCAAAAAGAGCAATCTAGTACAATTAAATGCTAAATTTGCACATTATGGCAGAGTCCTCCTCTGTAGATGCATACTTACTTTCTTGGATGATAAAAGTGTCAATGACAGATGTGTGGTTACAGAATTTCCAAGGTGTTGATTAATTCCCACACAATTATTTGCAATCTTAAAAGGTCTAACATTTTTCCACAGCTATCTCAGGCAGTACTCTCCACTTTCATAAGACAATGAATGCCCTGTTAACTTTTCACCAGCTTGCTTCTTCATTCAACAGCAACCAGTTTTCAATATTGGGCCAAATAACTGGTGATAATGTTTAGCAGATTCACTGGCTGATTCTGCAGATCAAACTTCTATGAGAAACATGCAACAACTTCTACTCCCTACGCCATGGACACCTAAGAAGATGTCCTGGCAGGACATTGTTGTTTCTACAGTACCTCTACAATGCAAAATTGATTCCATTGACCCCTTTAACTGCCATGCCTCAATACTACAGAGTCATGGGAGCTGCAGTTATACAAGATCTTTAGCCTTTGGTGCTGAGGAGTGCTGGTGTCTTACCAAACTATATCTGTAATGATTCCACAGCATTCAGCCATGGCAATTAAAGTGGTGCCAAACTGCACTCATTCGATGGTAAGATGCACCCTGAGTCAAAAAGTAATAAAATATTCTAATTCACTGTTTTAAGTAAAGGTAAAGGTTCCCCCTGACATGAAGTCTAGTCATGTCCAACTCTGGGGGGGGGGGGGGGGGGGGGGGGGGTGGTGGTGGTACTCATCGCCAATTCTAAGCCAAGGAGCCGGCACTGTCCATAGACACCTCTGAAGTCATGTGGCCAGCATGACTGCATGGAGCACCGTTACCTTCCCGCAGAAGCAGTACCTATTGATCTACTCACATTTGCATGTTTTTTAACTGCTAGGTTAGCAGGAGCTGGGCTAACAGCAGGAGCACACCCCGCTCTGCGGGTTCTGTTTTACTATTCAACAATCAAACACCATCAGATAACATTAACACAGAATGGGTCTACACTGATCATATAATGCAGATTCAAACTGTATTATGCAGCAGTATGGATCCAGCCACTGCTTCTGGTAATTATGTGTACAACTTAGAAAATGACAAAGAGAAAAATCTCAAGAATCAAATGCATTTATTTTTTCCAATAAAATTGATTCTTTCCTGGTTATTTAAACCCCAAAACTGTGCCAACCCATTTAATTCAGAGCATGTCACCTTCCTTGGAAACAGTTGATATTTGAGAAATGGCACAGAGAAACACTACTTACTGACCCAATGGTAGGTACATATGTAACAAAAGCAATAACTCACCCACTAGTTCCTGGTCTTTGAGCTTGAGAGAAACGCCAGTCTGTGTTAGGCTGTGCTTGCTGCAACAGAAACAGAAATAGATATTTAATGCTTTTATTCCTAAACTGAGGCTAATTTCCTTCTTTTGGCCCTGGATGAGCACTAGAATAAGAGAGAAGTGTAGAGCTAGGGTGGGAAGGGACACATGGCTGTACATGTAAGCTCTACATCCCTCTCTCCGCCATGTGCTTGCAAAACCAGCTGCTAAGTGACAGCCTCTGCAAATGGTTCTGCAAGTGCTTTTGGCACCCATCCCCCCCTTCCCACTTTAGCTCTAGGTGTGAGCAGGTGAACACATCTCCACAGGGCTAGACAGATGAACCCAGAAGAAAATTAAATGTAGAATTTAGAATAACTGTCTTCTACCTAGAGTCAAGTAAATATGTACATACAAAAGTGGACTGCAGCATATTCCAAACTATTTTCAAACAGATATGATTGATTAAATAGCAGGATGAAGAAGTTCTCTAGTCTCCCAGAAGATAAGACACTCAGAAACTATTCCGTGAAATCAATGAAGCATGAAATAAGCTGGAGGGGGCATCATTTAAACCAGAGAACACCAGAACATCAGGAATAATGAGCTGAGGGGGAGAAACAGAATTAATTGGTACTCTGAGAGATCGACTCTACTGCTAGCATCTGAAATGCTAATAGAATTTCTTAATGTATAGCTTTTTCTTAAACAGGCCTATGTAGGGCTTTGATATAATGTCCAGCATTTCCTTTCATCTTTTGCCTTTGGAGTTCCCTCCTACTGCGATTAAAAATTCAATTTCCTACAACAATAATTATTTCTTGAGAAGAAACAACATAAGACACACAGTAGTTCTACATCTCACTCGACTGAGCCATGTGTTATTTTCCACCTACACAGTTGCTGTATTGGAACAATGGACATCTTGTAAATAAAATGCCACTATGAATTCCATGTTCAAATAGCTCTTTGTGAACACAGATGAAAGACATGCCAGTGTCGACATGCAAAACAAACATCTATGACGTCTTCTGGCAGTCACTTTCATTAATACCTCAAATAATGCCTTAATAACAAGGAAATGACTTGCACACCACTAATTTTGGGAGATGTCAGTTTCCTCAAACATAATGTAGTAAATGTGTCTTTTAAGATCAGGGTGCAGTTTGCTTCCCGTTAAGTGTAACTGCAGACACCATTGAGTCAAATGCATCGGGATACTACTAGGTGCCCTGAAAATAACCAGCAATTCAAGGTTTTTGCAGATGAGTAATGTCTGTGTAAAATAATCACATATATTGTAGCTACATATAATGAATATACAGACATAGCTCTGCCTCCTATATTTACAGACACTTTCCACAGTGAGCTATCATTGTGTACAATTCCTTTCCCACTTGTTTCTATAATTTGGAGAATCAGTGGTTACAACAACAAAAACCTGGGTCCTAAATTTAAACAACTAAATGTAGCTATTTATTTAAATCTATTTTGGGAATCCAGAACTCTCGTGAACATTTAAAAAACCCAGTTCATTTATCTTTAGAAAATGGTACCTGTTTAGTATTTACATTTCTTAAAAAATATTTAGGCATTCCTAAAAATGGGATTAAAGTTCTGCCTTCTTGTCTCAAAAGTGTCATGACTTCTGGATTTCTTTGCAAGGTAACAAGAGTCAAAATCATAACAAAGCCAAATATATAAATAGTAAAGACTGCAAAATAATCAATGTAGAAAGTCATACACTGTGAATATTGTATTTATTCATAGGGCTAGCAAAATTAAGAAGCAAAAATGTAATATACTTTTATACATTCAGTGTAAAGCTTTAAAAACTTCTGATGTATAAACGATGTGCTGCTTTTCTCAAATAAGCTGAATCTGCCATCTTTGGCTAGATCTACATTGTCCATACAGTGCAGTTCAAACTGCATTATTTGTCAGTGTAGTTCCTGCCTTTGTTGTCAGTTTGATACTTCCCAGTCCTTGCATAAATTAACTTAGACGTTTTTATTACAAAAGGTACAATATAATTCACAATCTCAAGCCCTGCCACCCTTATGCAAAAACATGATCTAAATGTAGGTCTTTTGATGCTCCTATTCATTTCAATGGAAGTTGCTCAAAAGAGCTTCCCAATGAATTCTATTTTAAAACACTACTACATTTTAAAATAGCATGCATCATATCTGTTTTGAAAATTTAGACAGGCTTTTTGAAAAAAAAATACTAGAGCAAAACACTAAAATCAAGAGGTACTTAAAATAGCAAGATAACGAAACCTTGACAGCTTCTCACAGAGGAAAATGAAATCATTTGTTGTCATGCCCTTTTACAGATGCATCTCTTAAGGCATTTTCATCTAGACTCATTATCTCCTTTTGATAGATGATATTTCTTTCTTTGGTCAAATGACAAATGAGCCCATTACCTTGTACTGATAGCTATAAGTATTACTTGACAATTACAGGTAATTCTAAGTATGAGAAAAAGATAGAGAAGACTTTTGATGAGATCAGCAGCAGTAGGCCATACTCTTTGACCCACTGTCACCTTGTCCTTGAGGAGCCCCAGTCGCTTAGACTAAAGGATGCAGTAGGCATAGTATGTGTGAACCAATGTGTTTGCAGATACCATAACCAGCAAACGAAAATGTATGTCCATACAGTGCCAATTCTTCTTTCAAACCCCAGCTCAAAACTCACCTCTTCTATACCACTTTTGCTTTAGTCCTCTAGCTTTCTTCTCCAGCTGAATTTGCTGTACACATAGAGGAAAAAGGGCTGAATACAGCTCACAAATTGCATCTGCTTCCATTAATCTGTAATTAAATTTGCTTCACTCCTTCTTCCTGTCTAAATTTAGATTATAAGCTTCTTGGGATAGGGAAATACATTTTGCTTTTCTTACTCTGTAAAGTGTTATGATGAGCACAAGCATGGTGTAGTAGTTATAGCATTGGAGATCAGGATTCAAATTCCCACTCAGTCATGGGCAAGTCACACTCTCTCAACCACAGACAAAGGCCCCTTTAAACAAACCTTTCCAGGAAAACCCTTTAGGATCGCCATAAATTGAAAACAAGTTGAATGCACATAACAACAGTGAAGGCTATGATAATGGCATAATAACAAATTAATGTCTATGACACCGTTTTTAAAACAAGCAGCCTTAGCGACCTAAGGAGACTTATGTGTAAAAGCGAGTCTTCATTCCAAGCAGTACAGTATCTGGAGAGCCAAGTGGTGAACCAGTCAAATGTTCACTTGCATTCTTCTCCCACCCTAATTTAGGACAGATGAAAGATGATGGAAGGCTGTTGAACTGAGAGTGATGTGAAGACACATGGCAACAGTACATGCAACTTATAAAAAAAAATCTTCAAAATGTAGGAAGTCCAGAATTTCCCCCCACCACCATGAGAATGACCTATCTTCATTATGCCTACCAGATGGATGTCCATGGTAGAGCTCCTAATAAATATGGATTGAAAACAGAAACCTGAGGCAACATTTTGATGTGTCTTACCCCATCAGTGGGAGTCTGCAAAACACTGCCTGCCTGCTCAAAGGCAAGAATGCTCTCTGCCGTAGTAGAATGACTGAAAGGTTTAACAAAAAAGAACTCTCCTGGTTCAGACATTGGGGAGAGACAAGACTTGTAGTGCTGAGCTCCTGCTCCACCCACTTCAAGGTATCTGATAAAGCCTTCTGGGTGTGGGTGCCCCCTGAAATTTATGGTGGATTTCCGCTCTGTCCTCCTACTACAGCACCGTGACATGAACCAGTTAGGAATACAGAGGCCAGATTTGAAGCACCTGGCTCCTACAACAATCATCATTACACAAGATACCAGAGAGATTGCCACAAGAGAGATGATAAGGTACAAAGTTAAGTTGGGGCCTCTGGAAGGAGATTTGGGGAGGATGTCCAAGGACTTAGAAAAGTCCTGCACAGCATTATCTTCTGAGGAGATCAGTAGAATCAATGAGGCTGAGAGGGTTGGCACCCCATTGTCCCTCACCTCTACCACCAACCTGTGAGATACCCCTGGCTCCCTTAGTGTCCGAGTAACCCGGATCTCTCCTGAGTGGCGTTCCACTTTGAAAGCATTGGCCTCATTTGTTTCTTGGAGCAAATTGTATGAAAGCCAGGCGTTGTGGCCACTGTCAGCATCCACAGCCACCACTTTCGTTACCAGGTATCCAGGTTCCACTGGAAGTAATACTGACTGGTGAAAAGCAGAACCCTTGAGAACTTGGGGGTGCACAATCACGGGGGCATTGTCATTCTGATCCACTACAAATAAGTGCAGGGTAGCCGTACTGCTCAAGGGAGGGAAACCCGAATCCTTCACCTCGACAGCAACTTGAAAGACCTTTTCTTGCTCATAATCAAGAACCCTGGAAGTGTAAATGCTGCCATTCTCTTGGTTGATGTGGAAATAGGTAGAGATAGGCAAGCCATGGTTCCCGTTGTCCACAATGGAATAAGACAGCTTGGAGTTGACTCCAACATCTGGGTCAGAAGCTGACAGGGAAAAAACTAGAGTCCCTGGAGAGATATTTTCCTCCACATGGGCTGTGAAAGAAGGGATGGAAAAGGTGGGAGCATTGTCATTGACGTCTGAGACTTGAATTAAGACAGTTTTCTGTGTTGATTTCTGAGGCATTCCAGAATCTGTTGCTTTAATTGTGATGTTATATCCAGCAGCCTTCTCTCGATCCAGTGGGCCATTAGTCACTAGTGAATAATGTCCCTTAAAGGAAGACACCAATTTAAATGGGACATGCCTTGTAATCTCCAAGTGAACCTGTCCATTTTCCTCAGAATCATTGTCCTTTGCCTGGATGAGTGCAATCACTGTCCCTGCAGGTGCATCTTCTTGCACTGGGCTGGAGAGGGAAGTCAACATAATCTCCGGGCTGTTGTCATTGACATCAACAAGTTCTACTCTGATGTTGCAGTGACCTTCCATGGCGGGAGATCCCTTGTCTTTAATGTAGATGGCAATCTCATATGCACTGGCTTCCTCATAATCCAG